CCCCCCCCCCCCCCCCCCCCTCCGGCAGCCGCTGCGCGGAATGGCCTCTCTGGACCTGCCCTACCGCTGTCCTCGCTGCGGGGAGCACAAGCGCTTCCGGAGCCTGTCGTCCCTACGCGCCCACCTGGAGTACAACCACACGTACGAGACCCTCTACGTCCTCTCCAAGTCCAACAGTGTATGCGACGCCGCCGCTCTGCTGCCCCTGGTGGCGGAGGGAGCCCTCCTGGCCCCTGCCAACAACAACGACCCTTTCGAGCCTCTCCGGCCCTCCGCTTTAAAGGAGCGGCATTTCGCCTGCCGCGAGCTCCCGTGCGCCGACGACCTGAGCCTGACCCCGGCCAACTCTAGCTCCGCGGCCGGGTACATCCCGAATGTGGAATTCCCTCTGGGGGATATTTTCATGAAGAAAGCAATGACTTCTACAGATCCAGGTCCCCATGGAAACACGAGCACGGCCGTAGCGGTGGCGGCCAATGTGGCGGCCAGTGCGGTGGAAGCCGCGTACGAGGAGGGCCTCGCCAGGCTGAAGGCTCGCGCATTCGAGCGGCTGGAGCTTGATGAGAGGCTGGAGAAGCTGTCAGAAGAGGTGAGTACGATCACTTTGGGTATCGCGATCAGTTTAGAACTTTCACACAGTGCAGATTTGAAATCTACAGGGATTAATTGCGTGGTCAAGGAGGACTCTGGGGAAACACCTAACCCCCATTTGTCTTTGTGTTTGACATTAACTTTATCAACAGCCCCCTTCTTGACATCTTTAGCCTGCCCTCAACATCTTCAACTCAGCAGCAGATAAAAGTAATGAGCTCATTAGAGCTGCATTAAATGTGATCAGATACACTGTGGCCAGTTCTTCAAGTTGACAAATCCTACCATTTGAGAATAAGTAAGAAGTTGCCTGTTAGGACCTTAGCATCTCTGCAACTGCATCTAAACATTAGTGTGGAAATGTCATATAGAGCTTATAAACCTGAAGAAACTCAGATATAGTTCTAGTTTTACGGCCAGCAAAGCATGAACTTTTAACTTCTTCCAGGTTAGAGTTTTCCTATATGTCAAAGAAAAGAAGGAGGAAGACTGTCGTATTCTTTAAGACTTTTAGAACAAAAATTGTATTTTATGAACTTCAGGGGGATCTGAGCTTTAGCTGTTTTTGTCAGATTATTTCATATATCTTTAGACAATCTCAAGGGCTTCTAAATTTTTGTTTTACTAATTTAGTCAAGACATATCCACAGAAACATGTCTGTGCCATATTTCCTCTTATGTAATGATGGCTTTGCTTTACTCAACTGTAATCATGCAGGACACTTTGTCTTTGCTGTAAATTATGCTGATATGTTTCTGCACATTGGACATTGCAGATACTGTCAGCTGAACAATTTTCAACCACACAACAGCAGAACAGTCTTTTTTAGGAAGAACTACCCTTCCCTTTCACGCCCAGGACTCCCTGTGATATAAGACTATGAAATACAATGAAATAATTATTTGTCAACTAATACATGTAGTACTTGCACCACTGTAATTTGCACTACTTTTATTTTTTGTGGTGTCATATGGTTGCACATCAGGCAGCTCAAGTCCTTTTTTTTGCTTTGAAGGTGGAGCAGAAAATAGCAGCTCGTGTAGGCCGGCTTCAGGCAGAGCTGGAGAGGAAGAGCTCTGAGCTGGAGCGGGCCAAGCAGGAGAGCGAGCGACTGAGCCAGGAGAAACAGGACCTTGAGAACAAGGCCTCCGAGCTCTCGCGGCAGGTGGACGTCTCAGTGGAAATGCTGGCGAACCTAAAGCAGGACCTGGTGAACAAAGAGACGGAGCTGAACCACAAACAGCAGTGAGTGAGATGCACTGGTTTCTTTCTCTGCTTTTGAGCCGAAACAAGCCACAGGTTATATTCTGACACAACTAGTGTTTACAGTGCGCTGGCAGCTGGAAATCCACAATCCGTTCATACAAAATGCTGTTTGAACGAGAAGCGACGTAAGTTGTCATGTCAAGAACGAAAAGGAGAACAGAAGATCAAACCTTTTTATTGCATGGAACTAGAAGTTAAACATCAAAGTGCACGTTCAGGGAACTTTGAAAATAGTCTGAAAGTGTAACTCCCATTTCTGATGTTGGAAAATGTAGTAGGGAGTTGTTTCTCAATCTGTTTGTACTTCTAACCACACGATAATGTCCATCCATCCGTTGCCCTCACCACTTATTCCTAGTATGCTGGACATGTTGCCAGTCAATTACAGGACCACACAGAGACAAACAACCACATCAGTTAACCTGTGGAACCTTCTTCCTGTGAGGCAACAGTGCAAAACACCACACCACCATGCAGACCCAAATAATGACATGTTTTCTGTATTCCTTTTATATATCACATGAGCAGTTGTGGTCTAAATCTGTCCAACAGCCACTACTTCATAGCCACGATCTCTGGGTTGGTCAGTGGCTCATGCTGACGGTAGTAGCCGGCACCTCTTGCTGCATCCTGTCATCTTGGAAAGGCACGTTTTCTAGAACATTTCACGTCAGAAAACTTCCTGTCATCCCTCCATAAAGCTGTCATAAGACTTTGTGACCCCATGTGGCTGTTGTAAATGAACTCATATGTAAATCACTGAATTAAGAAGCAAGTACAGTACGATTTGGAGCTACCTAGCCACATGGGACACAGACAATGAGTACCGGCAGACCAGGTTTTCAGAGTTATTGAAATGAAACCCAGGATAATTTGTTGTGGGCTACAAACATCAATGTTGATTTTAGTTTGGGTGGATGTTAAAAATCAGAAGACACTTCTACAGAGAATAGTTCTGTGTTAAAATGTACTAGTTCTACCCGATCCCATCTCACTATTAAGGTATTTGTTGGATGCGTGGAATTAAACATCAGAGAGTCATTCACTTTATTGTTCTGCACTAAATTCAAATCATTACAACTAGGAATTATGAGGCCCAACTGAGTGAGCAACTGCCTCAATACTACAGTAAAAATGCAGTTATGAGAAGGTTACCTGCAGAATCCACATTTTCTCCAAAGGTATCAAGATACTAAAGCAATCAGCAGCTGGAACATTTGACATTTTACCGTCATTCAAACGTTATTTGAATAAGATAAATGACATATAACAATAATAACACATAAATTACTTTTGACTTATTTTATTAACAACTATAGATGAAAAAAACACCTTAATGTACTAGCAGCTTTTAAAGAGGCATCCTTTTTGTGTTTTCTTTTTATTTCTTTATTTGTAATTGAGGGGTTGTGTAGTACTCATAAGTGGTCAGCATACATCGATCGGAATGCTTTCAGTCTGGAGAAACAGTAAGGAATTGTTTTAGAGGAGTAAAGCTAAGAGCTACTCAGTGCAGAACAGGAAAGGATGGTATACATCACATACTAATGCAGCTAAAACCTCAAAAATTCCATAGCGGTTTGAATGAAGGCTATGATGTGGATTTCTATGTCAGAACAATTTTCATCTGATGGATGTTTAACACTGCATTTTCTAAACCACAGAACATTTGAGTTACAACAGTCTTTGTTCCTGGCTGCCCGGGCCCAGTCGGTTCAACAGCGTGATGTAAACATGATGCAGCAGAAACTAAATTCTTTAATGAAGCTTGTTGTGATTACGCTGAATGAGAAACGTGGCCCCTCCCCTCTCGTCTTACAGTGTCCTCAGTCATGTATTCTGGAAGCATCAGACTGCAGCCGTAAAATCCTCGACCCCAAGACACCTCCTTCCCCGCTCTCTGTCTGTCTGTCTCTCTCTTTCACACACACACATACACACATACACACTCCTTGTGTGTCTCAGAGGAGAAGCTGGCAGTCAAACAGGGAGCTCATTCAGACTCTAAAGTACAGAGTAGGCCTGAGGTGGAAAAAGAGCATCACAGGCGGTGAATGTTCAGCAGGGTTGATGACTAAGCAGACACAAAGCAACTTACTGGTTTCAAGTAAGTTAACCCGACCATCTCTTCCATTCAGCCCAAACTTTTTCTGTCAACAACGATACTGTTCAGGCTCAATAACTCCAACAAGGGGTTACGAATCATGTTTGACATCAAATCTGTCACTTAAAAAAACAAAAAAACAGTCACCTAGCTGTGTGTTGCTATGCAACCATGAATAACTCCCACGATCTGCCTTTAGCTGCTAGAAATTCCATGAATAAAGATATAACCCTGATGTGAGACTGGTACCCCTTCTTTCAGCCTTTGTAAGGAATTATGGAGAGTGAACATTGTGCCTGAGATCCAGATGCTCATTTTTGGTCATGCTTCATTACCCTGTCATCATCTCACACACCTAGTACTGTAATACTTACTTAAGACTGATAGTATAGAAGTTAAGGTAATAAGGATTGCTTGAGAACAGCTGTTTGGTGGTTGAATGAGAACCAAAGCCAGAGGAACAATGAAAACTGATTTTCTCCATAATGGAGTCAGTAGCTTCAGTTTGGGTCAGGTACATCTTGAATACATTTGAAATCTGTGCAACCTTTAATCAAGACTCTGTGGCATTCAGTGCATTGCATTTTGAAATCTTCATGATTGCTTTGAAATATCCCAGAAATAGTATTGTATGTGCCATAAAGATTCTCAGTATATTTTGAGGGATCAAAGTCTGATTTAAGGTCATTCCAAAAAGCCCACATTTGAATAAGACAGATCTCTGCCTTTAGAACCATTTCAGGGGACTAGAGTGAATGTGTTTTTTATGTTTCTTTTATCTGTGTGAACTCTTCGACACACAGCTGCAGAAGTTGACGGCTTGCTTTACAGGGTACTCCTGTGGGAAGACATAATGGTGCAAGATCTACCTGCAGCCTGTCGTATGATGTGAGCTGTGTCTAGACATTGGATGGAAATTTGGAAGAGTAGGAAACTGTCAGGGCTTTATACCATATTCGGAACACACATGCACACCCAGACGCGCCTAGACCCCGAGGCTTGATCTATTCCTACACCCAGCTGTGGCGAAGAGAGAGTGGCCTGCGCAGCATAAGAACTCTGTGGTATCCAAAAGTAATGCAGGATACAGCCATATTGGCATTCACCACGTGTTGGCCAGGAAATGTCTGTTTCTCTTTTAGCAGCACTGCATAGGGAATGTGTCCGAGAGGAGAGAGCCATCTCATTAACAGCAGTGTTTCAGAGCAAACTGCACAGTGAGATCAGATCGGATCATGAAAATAAATTAGCTGGAATGTGATCTGAAGCATGAATAAGGACGATATATGGACTGTATGTTTTTCTTGTTCCATAAAGCTGAATACTAAGGCTGTAAAATCTGAACAAACACTCTGAGAATTATGTAATCTTTGAAGTCTATTTTATGTCAAAACAGTGATGAAGTGCTCTATTTGCCCAAATCTCAGAGAGAAGGGTGATTTGAATATGTCAGCAAACTGTTTGGAACGAAAGTCCTGGCTTTGCAGTGCTGATTTTGCACAATATGAAGACGGCTTGTAGAGAGCGTGCTACCGACTCTTCATTTTAGGAATATATTAGATAACAAAAACACACAGTGAATGTACAACTAAACTAACCACAGTTTACAGATCCATGGCATTTTCTAGAGAATTGTGCTCTGTGAATCCATTTTTTGTGGATTTTGGTAGGGCATTCAGGTTTCCTGGGGTGAGATGAAGGGGCTTCCAAAAAAAAAGGGACTCTGGACTATAAATAATCAGTGTGTGTGTGCATGGTTTGGTCGATATTGGTAGTAATTTAGTTCAGGATTTGTGAACAGATGGCTGTGTTCATCATTAGATGAAAGAAGTTGACACAAGTGTCCTTGAGCCTGGTTGAAATTATTTGGAGAGAGTGGAAAGGAAGCAGGAAGGATGCTGACAGCCATTATTTGGTTGGCCACATCTTTTTACACAGTAGAGAAAAAACAGTTTAGGATAGAAACTGGATATACACTGAAATATATATATATACAGTCTCGTAGTCGTATATAAATCTCACTAGAGTCAAAACCTTACAGTTGAGGCCCCATTTTAAAGACTTCTTTTAAGATGGCTTAGATGTAACGATACATCTTTGGCTCATTTCCTGCTGGTAGGTCTGTAAGTGTGTGAAGAAACCACTAGTTGTATCATTGCTCACTAAGGTGCTGGTTGTTGTGTGTCTGTTATGTTAGTAATTGTATAATATTGTGTCACATGCTTGATTGATGCTGTTCCTGATTACCTGCTCTGACAAATCCAGCCTCATTAATGGGATCGTCTGCCTTAAACCTGAGGAAGAGCAGAGGTAATTTGGAAGCTGTTCCTATGAATTATTGTTATATTCTTTGGAAAAAGGCTGCTTCTATGTGGCCTGGTTTACTGCACTGCTCCAATTTGTGTGCGTGTGTGTGTGTGTGTGTGTGTGTTGTGTCAGACAGTGAAAGAGAAACACTTCTGCACCTTATTTAAAATACATGTAATGGATTATCATGGTTCAAGTGGAGAGCAGAACACACATTTAGTTTGTTATATAATGAACCTAATAATATGATATAATGACTCTAGTAAATAATGAATGAACTATTGTTTATTTCTTGTCTGTACATTTACAGAGAGAGGTTGTCCACCTACAATTAGTAGCTTGGAAGTAATCTTTTATTCCTTCTCTTTTTTCAAAGCTGCATGCTTCCACTTGCTTTACTCTAATCTCTTATCTTTTCGCCCTTTTCTAGCTCATGTCCCCTTTCATGTCACAGCACACTTCACCCCAGCTGCTCGTGTTTTCCTCTTGTGCAAAGTTTGTATATAATGCATACAAATGTGTGACATGGAGCAGGGACAGCCTAAGAGGCCACCTTGTTTCCCCCATCCATTCCCTTCAGCCATCTTCAGGTGAAATGTGTTTTCAATGTGATGGCACAACAACTCTGGGTAATAACTAACCTCTTCAGACAAAAAAAAGAAAGCTCTCCACAGCCTCCAAGATTTTAAATTGAGCATGAGAAGAAAATAATGAATGTCTTTCTTGAAAGCCTATTAAACATACTTGCCCTTTGTTCCGTTCTGTCGAGAAAAAGCACAAAAGAGCATGATTTAATTTGTGCTTTGACCTCAAATTGGAAGTAAAATTGGCACAAAAAGAATGTTTTTCTTTTGCATCAGTCTGTGTGTTTTATCTCAATTTCGTTGCTTTTATTCAGGATTGAACTCTGGTCTGTGTATAGTTTTTGACCATTCTCTTATCTCCTGCCTTTGCCTATCCAATAGCTTACTAAGCCTGCCACATCTGGCCTTCACAACAACTGTGCCTGCAGCCTTACATTTCATCACTATGTTCCTCACAGTAGAAACTGACAGCTGAAATCTCTGATATAGCTTTTTGTAGGCTTCCCCTAAACCATGATGCTCCACAATCTTTGTTCTCAGGTGTTTTTAGAGTTGTAGAGTTGGAGAAGAGTTTAGGAGAACAAAAGCCTACCATAAGTTCTCTTGTGTGGATGGATGCATCTGTCATGAGGTCCAGTGCTTAAACAGCAGGTTTTTGAATAAATACAATGACATGTTTATATTAAATTGTGGGCACACATAACTATATTCTTATAAGTGGATTTGTGTATGTTTTTGAAAATGATAGGCAGTTGATGTGATTCTGTACAACATGACTGAGTAGTGATGCTTGGTCTGCTTTGATGTCCACAAATGAAAACAAACCCAAATGACAAACTTCGCCGCACTGCCTGTTAAGAGAGTGAACACGAGGTCACATATAGTTGTCGTGAGGTATTTTTGCTCAGAAACATGTCGCACATCAACACATTGCTTGCATCACCTAGAAAAGATGGCGGTCTGTTTTCCCAGCTGCCCGAGTGTATGTGTCCTTGAGGCGTTAGTTTTTTATGAGTTGTAAGTGAGTCACAATCATGAGGCGGGTGTGTGTGCGTATGTCTGTGTGGGTCTTGGAAAATTAGGATTGACAAAAAGAAGCGGGCACATCCCATCTCCCCCCCTTTTCTCTATCAATCCCCCTGTGCCTTCTGCCCCTCTGCTTCCACATGACTGCAGATTTCTGTTAGCTGTCTGTTGACATAGCGTCTGCAGTGGACCCCCCCCCTTAAACCTCATGGTACTTGTGCCCTTTTTCTCTTAGCAGCTTCAGTGACTTCTGTCTGCCCTTCATTTGGTTTTACTCTTAGCTCTTTGTTATGTTACTTGGGCTCAAACCTGGGTCGCCTGAATCAAATAGCTTAAGTGTCTGTTTATGGGCTGTCCATGACGCGAGATCCCCTCTTCAGTCAAAAGGACGCATTGATTCTTCTGACCACACAGCCATTTCCTGCAGTGCTCCTGGGCCCATGTTGGGATTGCAATGACAGAATCACTCTTGTTTTTAATACATCCCCACATCTTTACTCCTCAGACCCTGTCTGTCATCACCGTGCTCTTTTTATATCCAGTCATTTTCCCGACCTGCTTCCAGTTTACTTTGTTAGGTGCAACTTACTCCTCCACACGTCTATTTATAGTACAGTAGCGGTTGCTAATTTTTTGTTAATGCGATTTGTACACAGTATACCACTGTCTCTTTCGCTCCCACCCATTTATAATCCATTGTTTTTGGGAGAGTTTCCAGCCGACTGAACTTTCTTCTTTTGAGTGGAAGGGCTGGCAGGCATTTCTCCCCGTGCAATAGTCGGAACATCTTTCCTGTTACTCCCTCATGTTCCTCTTCATGTGATTAGTCTTCCTTTTCCCCAGAGAAACAAAATGCCACTGGAGTTGAATAATTAATAAAGACAAACTGCATGAATATGCACTGGAAAATGGCCTAAATTTGGTTGTATACAAACTCATCTCAACCCTGACTGTTTGTAAAAGTTGTGCTGAATGCCACTCAACTGTGCACAAAGCTAAGCTGGGCTTATGCATTGTTTTTTTTATGTATCAACTTAAATAATGACTCAAAAGTATCTACCTCACTGTTAAATGATACAACACATTAGGCACGGCTTTGATTATTGAATCAAAATAAATTATACTGGCAGTCATTATTTATAATGAGATGCAGCCTGCACTGCAGGATGTGGCAGTTTGCTGCTTCATCTATTTTGTAAATTCTGCATCTGTCGTTCTGCCTTTCGTTATTTATTTTTGATAATAGCTGTGGTCTCATGCGTCTTCACTACTTTAACTGTCCAAAAATTAGCCAAGCAGTGTTCTATACAAGTCTGATCCCATTCTGCATGGATATTGATCTTTTTTTAACTGAAAATAGGACATATTTACAGAAAGAAAACACTATCAATGTGTTTTTCCATTGTGTTCAGACATTTGCTGCTGAAAAACTGAGATAAGGTCTATAAGAGCAGATATTAATATGGCAACATATGATGCACCTGAAAATGAAAATATATCAAACAAAGTGACACAAAGAGTGCTACTGTATAAGGCCAACTGTTAGCATTTGTAAAACTGGTCTGGGTTCAACATATCCTGTTCTGATGCATCTTTTTTGCCAACTATTTAGAAGTCAATGAAGAGGCATGACCTCCATGTCTGATCTCAAACATTCAGAAAGCTCAAGCTAATGGCACACAATCAAGTGAAGTGTGTTTAATCAGCTTTTTGGGGAAATGTGGTTTGTAGGTGTGCGTTCAATATTTTCTTGTGATAAACTAATCTAATATATTTAACAGTAGAAAAAAAGAATCATATAGAGTAGACTGAGTATGACTTCCACAGAGTCTTTTGGACCTTAAAGATCTGTGTTTCAAACTGTCATGTTCATGTGCATCGTCACAATAGATGAAATCATGAGGACCCTTTTTGTAGGTGTGGAACAAGATAACTGGCATCCCATCAGCCATTTCATGGTCAGCTAACTAGCCGGACTGTTACCCAGAATACTGGGATTATGGATTTTAACTGAGGGATGTGACTCAAACAAACAAAACACTAAACTGCTCAGGAAGTGAATTGAAACTGATTACAGATTGCATTTAACTACCCTTCAAAACACAGAACATCAGGAAAATACTAGAGGAATGACACATTAGTAAATTATATTTTTATTATGATAAAGCTGCTTGGAAAGACACAAAACAATTTCACCTATTAGGAAAGTGTGCTCTCCAAGTGAGTTTCTCGGAGAAATTATGAGAGCCTAAAATAACTGTGAATAGCAAGTGATCCAGTTTCAGGATTGAGGAAACATGCAAACAAGTCTAAGGAAAATTATTATACGTGAAGCTGTTGATCCCAGAGGATTCTACTGCCCTCGAGTGGCAAGAAATCAGGTAATGAGGCCCTAAGGTTCATTTGAGGTAAGTGCAGAACATGAAATCTGTACCTAGATGTACAGAACGAATAATCCTCTGGTGGCTTCACCTGACTTCATGTGGCTATACTTGAGCCTGCCACCTGTCTGTATTTTTTTGTTTGTCTTCTCTGTAGTAAAGGTCGGCCTCTTGAGGTGGCTTTGCACTCAGTTTTATGTGTCTTCATTTGCCCATTTTTCATTTTTCTTCAGATTGCAAACAATTGAAAGGAATGAATGTGATGATTGCTCACTTTTATATCTTTACTGTCAGCACTTGAATAATTTTGGATTATTATTTTTATCTTCCTCGCCTGAAGATAAGAAAAGTTAACTGTGTCAGACTAGATTATTTTTAGCTCAGAATGTCCCCATTTCATGGAAATTCATCATGTGCGTTATTGCTGTTTCGGAGAGGACTCTAAGCTTTATGATGGTTTGTTTCTGTGTTCATATGATTGGAGATGAATGTGAAATATCTGGCTGGCCTGAATTCATGAGCACAGACCTTTTGGAAGTGAACGGGCACAGACTGTCTGTCCTACTAATACTAAGCTTTTTAGGTTATGGTCTGAGTTTATAACATGACTACAATAGCTTTTTAAACTATTCTGACAGCACTGATTTAGACAAAGAGGACTTTTTGCATTAGAAAAAACCTTTTCATGCTTTAAAATAGAGTTTGTACAGGTGAGAAGAAATATATCTCCATATGATAAAAAATACTTCCTCTCATTTGATGGATCTACTTTAGATGCTTCTGCTTTCTATATGCGATTGCTCCCATGATTCTCAAATTTCCACAACATCCGACACTGCAAATGTCATTAAATGCGCTGATTTGCACATTTTGAAATTGTTTAAATTGGGTGTGCATTCTTGCTGCGTATATCACCTAAAAAAAGCATTTTCAAAGATTCCCCAACAATGTGCATGCATCATTATAACTTTATGTATTGCTCTTTCAGATTGCACAGCAGAGTAGCTGCAGGGGAAGCAAGAAACATGTCACAAGCAGTCACCAGACAGAAACAGACTCAGAATTCCTGCCTTTGTTTGCCTCTGTATCTGGGTAACACATTTTCCTTTGAAATGACAGGAACTTTGCCCTGCTGCGTCTGTGGTGTAGACATCCAGCTGCTTCTGTGTTTTTCTTTCTCGCTCTCTCTCTCTCTTCATCTGTGTTACCATTGCCATTTCACAAATCTGTTGTAAGGAAAAAAAGGCTAAACAGCTGGTATGAGTGCAAGAGATTTTCTTTTCTTAAATAAGTAGAAGGAAGTGCCCCGCAGTCAAACAAGGACCATTTGTTAAGCACATAGTAATCTATATAGAATACATAACGTCTTCCTACAACAGGGGCTACTGGGTCTGGGGTCTGTTGCAGTCTTCAAGCAAGCCTACCCTAAATAAGGCTGTAGCCTTCATTATGGAAAATGTCTCGTTGATATTTTTCTGTCCACCTCTGTCTCTGCAGGGAAGTGGCCCAGATTGACCAGTTCCTTCAGGAAACAGCGGCACGTGAAGCCAATGCTAAGGTACGCTTGCAGGAGTTTATCGAGGAGCTGTTGGACCGAGCCGACCGTGCTGAGAAGCAGCTGCAGATCATCAGCAGCTGTGGCACCACACCCAACGGCAGCCTGGGACGCTGCAGCCTGCAGGCTTCAAAGGGCACTGGACGCCAGGTTTGGGTCTTTGAGCATACATCTGCGCACTATAAAAGCACAGAGCCTTTGAGAGTTGCACTTTACACCACTTCTAATATATCTGCGATTCGATATATATTTTTTGAGATATGTCAAACACTCAACAAAATCAGCTATCGTACAGAATACTGTTAGTAATAACACTAAATTGGAAGATTCTACTGAAATAAATGTCCGACTTCATGACATTATAGCAGCTGCAACATAATAATACTCTTACCAGTTCATATTGTATCACACCGTATAAGTTTTTCCCCCTGTTTTTAATCAATCAGAAATTGATAAAAAGAATAGTTTTTAACATAAACTGAAATTAGAATTGAATGCTCAGTAAGCTCGATTTGAAATAATTGAGCTGAATTTTCAAGAGTACCATTAAATAAAAAAGAAATGTATACACATGATATTTTCTTTCTTTATCTTAGAAAGTAGAAGTATTGCAACCTGGCCTCATTTATTTGTTCCCATAGAGTTATGATAGTATTTGGAATATTAGGCATACATGATGGAAATTCAGGAAATTCGGGTCAACAATATGAGAAAGGTTTTGGTGGAAGGCCAAAACACGTGAAGTCAGTGTTGCACCTTAAAAATTGATAATAAGAAAGTTGTTTGGAGTGACTCAAACTTTCGACACTTCTGACATGCAGGCCTCCGGAGCACCTGAACCGATATCTTTGATTGGTTTTTACTACAAAAAAGCATTATAAAAGTAGGTATGTTTACTTGGTGAAATAAGAGACTGAATCTGAACAGCACTAAAGCACTAAATCTAAAGGAATAGTGAGGCTCTGCAGTAGAGTTAATTCTTTCCAGAAAGTGTACACGTATGAAAAGCAACCTCTTTTCATGATTTGAGATTAACTGAAATGAGCTCTTCCCTCCAGCTTCAGTACTTGAGCCACTTTGCCCTCTTTGCTTTAATGTATTATACTATAATGAACGAAAACGAAAAAGCAGGTGGAAACTCTTGTTAAAATCCATTTATTGAAATTGATATCCAATACCTTTGGAAAAAGGGTGAGCTTTTTCAAATTGAGCATGTGTGTTACCACGGAAACAGACCTTTCCTCTCTCTGAAGCCTTGTGCTTTATTTGATCAGATGTGATCTGGTATAGAGACAGATTTACTCTTTCCATTCCAACATTCATTTTGAATCTCAGCACCTTAGTGGGTTCGCTTGTTTTCCCTTCCCAGCGCAGGTTTTTACGGGCTTTTATTGGCACACCACACAGCCTCAGTGAGGCAAAGTTTGTTTTTGTTTGTCTCTTTAGACTAGAGACCTGTATTCCTTATATGGCTGCTCCTGTTCAGGGTTGTACAGTATTGTACTGTTAAAATAAAGCACAGGCTCGTAATTTTTTTTATCAGATGCTAACATAAGGCCATCAGATAAACACCCCAGACACATGACATTTTACCCAATGTTGTTTTGTATTGAGCAATGCTAAACCACAGCAACAGAAGCACTGAGTGAACCCATCATTCAGACACCCCAAAAGGTTCCATCTTTAGAGGAGTGATGGCCACGTTTGAGCGTGTTTGCAGTGCAGGACTGAGTCAAGGTGTTGTGATAGGCCAGACCTCAATCTGAATCAAATTTGGCATCATAAGAAAGAGGTGCGTGAGGAAATACTGCAAAATGAAATTAGCTGAAGCAACAGTGCATAATAAGTGGGCCAAAATTTCTCCAACATGATGTGAGCCAATACATCATAGAGAAAAACTTCTGCATTCTGGCTTCATTAGGACCAGATTATTTTGTTAAATGTTTTCCCCCCTGATACATAAGATTAGCATTTCAAATCCAAGACATGGATTATATTGTGTTTATTTTAACAACACAGAAGTTTATCCTAAACAGGATAAAGCATCCCAGAAATGCATCCCTTTAAATGCATTTTCTTACAAACCAGGCTCCATATTTGCTGATAATCAAAAGAAACACATATTCATCTTTCCTAAGGCAGTCATACAACTCAAACTAATCACTAAACTTACATATACTGTCTGGATTTTTACATCTCTTAACCTCATGCGTGAATGCTTGTGCATCGTGTGGAAGCTGAGATGATCACCATGACAAGTATGCACGAGGAGTCGCCTGGTTAGCACCTTGTTAAGCTGTCAAGGGAAGCCTGACTCCCACTCTTTCCATCCAGCATCAGTAAGGGTGCCCTCATCACCTCAGAGATGGGTTGCAGAAACACACACGTATTTTAGGATCGCCAGTGAGCTCAGGAAGGGATGACTCGTTTCTTGCTCACTTTGTCGTTCGCTGAAGTATTTCTACACAGGAAACAAGAGAATCACAGCTTAAATAAGACCGCTGTGTTTTGTAAGCTTTTGGCTTTGCCGCAGTGGGAGAGAATGAGAGGTAAAAAGCTAAGATACCTTGAATTGTGACCAGACCTCTCCAGATGAATGCATTTTTATTCCTTCCATTTTTTCAGAGATGTGTCAATGTTTTGCCTTCGACACATTCTGTCCAGGAATACTCGGTTTTGCACTGGATGAAGGCCAGAAACATGCTGTTAGAGTAAAGCAGGGAAAGAGAGAGGCGCCTGTGTTTGTGCACATTTTCCCTCTGCGGCACGCCGGCGGTCTGGTACAAAGAGTTCCACCTGGCGTCGCTTCACACACACACACATAAATGTACCCACTTGTGAAAACACCTCATGCTTCATTGGACGGGCAGTTTCAAAACGACGAGCAAAAGAGTGACAAGAGGAATTTGTTCTCCGGGCAAATAGAGTTAGATTGCACGCCTCATTTCAAACTCCCAACTGATTTCAGAGCAGCTACCGGACATCTTAGGTTTCACTTTTACAGACAGATTTGTTGTAATTTTCAACTAAATTTGAATTACGTCAAATTAGGACGTTCTGCCAGTGAATCACTGGCAGAACGTATCCTGAATGTAATCCACCACACTGCCTTTTCTCATCTACCCTCTTCTGGTTAAGCAGTATTCCTTGACTAGCTTTCCATGAAATGTAGATTTTGTTTCTTTTCTTTTTTGTAGATTTACTGTTTGCGGTTTTATGCATTTTCATTTCTAAACTTTTGCTTCCCGGTCTTCACAGCTAAGGTGGTCTGGCAGTGCCATTAAGAAAAAGATGATTTAATGAAGTAATCTGTCTTAGAAATCATCCAGTAGTCTGATGTCAAACGTCCTCTGGTCAGTCGTAATTGGCAGCAGATCGATTTTAAGATGGCTGTCTTTTTACGTGTTTCAGAGGTCAATTCAGTCACTCTCCGTTCTTGCTCCTCAGAGGATTGACCTTCTACTGTGTATTGTATTTTTTTTCTTTTTCGCCATCATGAGAGTAATTCTTTCAGTCCGGATAATTCCCCGCCTGTTGTTGACTGAACATCACGAACCATCATTACCTTTGTTCAGAATGTGCTCCAATCTGGAAACAAGATACAGAATTTTTACAATCAAACCACTAATCCTTGCAAAAAATAACGTTTTCCCAATTTTTTTCATTCATCAATAAAAAAAAAACACTGTCAAATTCTCGTGCAAGTGCAAAGCAGACCAGAGTTTAATAACTTAATGTCTCATGTAGTTCTTCTGTTGGACAATAAGGAAATATTTTTTTACTTATCTTAGATATAATATCTGTCACATTGCTTTGATATTCATTAACATCCATACTTCTGGATGAAAATCAATCATAAACAGCAAAACTACATGTAAACAGCATATTCAATACCAAGTCATTTTATAACCAAAGGCTCGTGCACTCATCAGATGCAGAGCAGGGATTTCTGTTATCTCACATGACAACAAATATATTTACACTTGGCTGTAAAAATAACAAAGTTTTTGTCTGTTTTGACTTGCGTCTCTTCAGAGAAACTCCAGCATCTCGGGGAGCACTCGAGGAATGTATCAAGTGTCGGAGAGGCGCTCGTCCCCCAGCACAGGGTAGGTCAAAACCACGCTGTCCTTAGGACGCATTCACATTGATTAGATTGAGACTAAGATATGATTAGTCGACAATGCTACTGTGCCTTATGTGGCATTATATGTACAACAGATTCTGACATACTTGTTCTTCGGTATAAAAGAAACTTATCCACGCTTTTAAGTGCCAAATTACATGCAGCATAAAAAGTCATTTAACTCGTGCACTAGATGATTAGGGAAGTGTGAAGTGTCTGTTCACTGGCTTTATCGTCCACGAGGAGATTTTATAGCTTAAGGCTGTTGAATGAATTTACTACACCTCAGTTTGCTCACCTGCTTTGGGGCTCCCATAGTGAAACACAATCTGCCAGTGATGCAGAATTGGAGGCACAGAGCTGTAAATCAGCATACGCTGTGCTTGCTTGCTTCGGCTGGGGTGCAACTTGTCTCACTTTTCTGAAAATGTTTGTAAGCAGAAATGCTCTGTCCCAGACACCGTATTGAAAAAAGCCCATACAAGTAGCACAGTTAAAGTTTTTTTGACATCATAATCTCATTGCCTTAAAATCTAATAGAATTCTTTAGAACAAAATATGTCGGATGTACCTAGGCAGATATACAGAAATGATTTCCTTTCATTCTTCATGATGGCACTTTAACCTGCGTTTGGGGGTGGCAACGCGAACTGTGTTCAGTTATTTCTTTATTAAGTGTTCCTGAGTCTTAGAAGTTATCTCCATCTGCTGATCCAGATTTTTTATCTGTTTACACATGCAGATTTGTAATAATTTGTTCAACAGATTTTTTAATCTTTACACATTTTTACTCAAGAAAAACTCAGAGGTTTTCTAAGGTATTATTTCTATAGTGAGTCATGCTACTCAAATCCAGGTCATCAAATCTGTGTTTTATTGTTTTAAAATCTTTGTATCTGAGATTTGCACATTACTTTTCTAATTTTACATTTTACATATTGTCCAAACTCTTTTGCAAAGAAGACAGTTGCACAGAATAAACAGTATGTTTTAAGTTGAAACCATTTTCAGTTATAGTCAGGCTAGGACTGGGGTGCAGCAGTGCATCATGGGTATCTCACCGAATGAGGTGTGATTGAAGTATTTCTGGGTCTCTGCTGCCAACTTCAGACACATGGCTGTGCTGTAGTACTCTGACTAACCCAACTGTCATCCCCAGTCGCTATGTGAATGTGTTTCCTGCCGTGACGTCACTAAAGACCTGTCAGGCCTTCCCCACTGAATCATGTACAGCACGACACACACACATGTATAGACGCATACGTGCAACACAGCGTGAACAACGTCTAACCTCTAAGCCTTCTGCTTACAGTTATTAATAGCTCTTAGTCAAGGATCGATACAGCCAAACAAGAAGTTGAAGTAAAGGTCATCTCCAAAAGTAATCAAAAGTGTTTGTGACTTATTGATCATGATGTCAACAGATATTCATGGAAGAATCATCAGTGTACATGCATCAGTTTGCAGCACGTTGTCAGACAGAGTTGAGATAATTCAGTAATAGCTTTACACAGCTTGTATAACCAGTGTCAAATAAGGGGTTTCCATTATTACCTTTTCTGCCCTCCCCAGGTCTATGTGAGACCACAATGAAGGTGTCAAGTGTGAACGTCTTGCGAAGTATTTTGGTTTTGTGGCTTTGTTAAGTTTGCCATTGACAGTTTGCCATTGACCCAGCAGGTTCTAAAATCCTAACTGTTAGGAGGCACCATTCCTTAAAGGAAACGCTAAGAACGAGTAGAGTTGAGCTGAGTAGTTACTAGTGGAAAAGCCTCAAAGGTAAAGTGAACAGAGTCAACAGAACCTTCAGAATGATTTAAACTGGATCCAAACAATACTCTGAAATGATGAATAGTAATTGGTAATGGCAGAATAGTGTCACATTTTGGTTTCTTGTTAAGTCAGAATGTAGGCAGTTTGTCTTACAGATTTCTACGCATTGTTAGACTGTAAACAACACAAATTACCATTTTGTCACAACATTCCTCTTCTCATCATGACAGGTGGGGGTTGCATTATCGCCACACATGTTTTAAATGATACGTGCAGATCCTCTCCATATTACTGACAGAAGAGTAGGGAGCCATGAGGGGGAGGAAGAGGAGGGAGAAGCTAGAAATCTGTAACTGTTTATCAGTTGTGGTGACATTGAAAATACTTCAGTTTGCAGTTTCAAAAGATACCCAGATTCCGTCTGAACTGAACTGAACTGAACTGAACTAAACTCCATATCAGACATTCATTGTGTTACTTTTTACACATTAAAACTGTTGTTTTGACGTGTAAATGATAAAAATAGTCATTAGTCATTTGATTAGTTGATCCGCAGTGGGAGCCTTTCTGTCTGTTTCACTGGACGATTGTTTTGCTTTGTTAATATTTGACCAAAGGTTTGTCAAATTCAGCAGATTCTCTGATAATGTCTGGAGGAATGTGTCTTGTGTTGTGTTGCAGATTGTGGTTTATCCAACATTTAGAAAAACATTTCTTTTCTTGGCACTGCGAGTTCTTACGGTTTCCATTGGTTTCCTAGCAACCTTATGGCGACTGTGCCTGGCCAAGAAACGTTCCTTCATTTAACCCCTGCTAAATTCACAATCTGCCATGCTCACAGGGATTTTGAATTTTAAATAGGATATTTAACTGACTTCAACATTTATCTAGTTCTACAAACACAGATGAAGACAATTGTTTATATCGACACTTCTTTTATATCTATAATGACTGAAGTGAATTTCTAGAATGGGAGTAAAGTATGTGTTTGATTCTCAAATTGAATGAGGAAAAAAAGCATTTGAATAGCTTGGTTCCCTCTGTTCTGCTGCAGAGCCTCAGGAAGGATCAAGTCTGTCTCGCAGGGCTCTGGAGGGTACGACAGTGACAGTGTTGAGATGCATCCCATGGAGGAGTGCCCGGAGGCACAGTACTATCACATGCAGTGCCGGATGAACGAGGGGGGTTATGAGCGTTCCCCCAGTTGTGGATCCAGAAACTGGGGCCTGCGTAAACAGGCCATCCAGAACTGGCAGCGGCGACCTTACAGGAACAGCACGGAAGGGGAGGAGGGAGACGTGTCCGACGTGGGCTCCCGGACCACCGAGTCCGAAGTGGAGATGTGGGAACAAGAGAGGAGGGCTGTGGCTGAGGTCCAGCAGTCTGCTGCTCCCTATCCTCACCACAGCAGGGCAGCATATCGCTCAAACGCAGGTAACCGCCCTCTGAAAAGTCGCTCAAGGCAAGGAAGAGACTCTTAGAAATCCACGCCATGGATCTCACATTTCAAACTAGTAACTCAGACCATTTGAGGTGTGTTGAAGTCTTTAAATATTTTTTTTTCTCGTCCTGCAAAGTGATCGGAGTCAAGTCTTAAAACATAAACAAAAAAGGCCCCAAATGCGAGAAATATATCACATAAAAGTGGTTTAAAGCATGAAAATGATATGACCATAGGCCAGACATGCAGGCACTGTCCGATCAGAGTGAGAAATGGGAAATCAGAGAGTTAGGATTTAGCATATTTTGAGGTATAAAGTCAAATACATTTCAGTTTTGTAATCTGGGAGCTAAAAAGCAGCCTCAGACATATTCTGATGCCATCTCTCTTCTGTATTGTCTCTCGCTCTGTCTGGCTGTACACTGCAGCATCTGTGTTTTATATTACCTTTCGTGTAACTTACTCTTTACATTTTGCTTATTGAGCTTTGGGTGACAGCTCCGCTCTAACATCGATTCACAGAACCTTCTCTGTCAGCAGATTTAAAATCTCAAGCTGGAATTTTTTTTAAAATGGTGTGACATTTTATATCGGTGGATCTTGTATGTTTGCGAAATAGTCAAATCGGGCCGGGACCTTGTGAAATGATAAAACAAAGCACTGTTGATTAGCCGAAAGGCGTCCTGTCGCATAACACTCCACATGCCACTGGCATCCCTGTGCTCTGACGTAGTTCTCCTTATTGAGAGAATCTCTATGAGGGCTTATTGGGTGGTATGTATCTGCAAGCGCAGTCTCTGTCTCATCAAGTAACTCACAGCTTGGCTTTTTTTGTTCATTTAGCAATCTTGAGTGTAGGTGGTTTGTGTGTGTGTGTGTGTGTGTATGTTTGACAGTGAGAGAAACTGAAAGAGTGGAAAAGCAAAGCTCTGGTTCACAGCCCTGATGGCTGTCATCAGACACCTTCCAAGGCCAAGGATGACGTGAGTCATGTCGGAGCAATCTTGCTCGGAGGGGTACGCCGCGCTCAGATTGGACACATTGTATAAGCCAGTAGATAGTAATAGACAAGATGAAAAAAAGGACAGATCTGTATTCATTTTTGGTTGATGGTTGGCGCCACCATGTGACTAAATAGTAAAGACATTTTTCAAAGGAGAGGTTTTTTTTGGTTCTTATGAAGGACTCAAAAGTAGTTATGAACAGATTCACCTTTTTAAAATGTATTCTTTTTAGATTAGCAGGCAAATGTCGTGAAACTGATTCAAATAGAGCTTTTTTCATTGGTCACTGCAAACCAGCACTCATAGAAGCTTTTCATTCAAACAAAATATGGTTTTCCGACACTAAAAAGAAAGAGGCTTGATTCCACAATTAAAACAAATGAAAAATCAAACACACATACACATGGACACAGAAAACTACCATGATTTTGAAAGATAAAGAAGTGAGAGAGCTGGGTCTCCCCCTAAAATCAGACGTTCTTTTTATACAATCTCACCAGTTAATTCCATATTTGTGGCTGGCACCTGTCCTGGAAATATCACACGATCAGTGCAAAAGGCTTTAAAGACTATTTCCTCCTTCAGGTCGGTCTGAAGGTGTTTACTCCAAGCAATGTCGCCACGAAAAGAGCCCATCCAAATCCAACGAGGTGATCAGCCCAGAGATCCTAAAGATGCGCGCAGCCCTCTTTTGCATCTTCACGTATCTGGACACCAAAACGCTGCTCAGAGCTGCCGAGGTCTGCCGCAACTGGAGGTTTGTGGCCCGCCACCCAGCTGTGTGGACCAGAGTGCTGCTCGAGAACGCTCGCATTTCATCCAAGGTGGATTGTCCATGTCTTGTTGTCATGTTTGTTTCATTGTCTAAAGCACTTTCAAAGCGCAGGTGAATGTAGACGCAAGAGTAACTGCTGTGGCAGGAGCTTTTCATCTCTGCATTACTTCTTTTCTAGTTCCTGAGCACCTTGTCTCAGTGGTGCACTCAGACACACTCTCTGATCCTTCAAAACCTTAAGCCAAGACAGCGGGGCAAGAAGGAAACGAAGGAGGACTACCTTAAAAGCACACGGTGAGACACACACACACAGTTGGTTACAGTAGCAGAAGGTTTTGTCAAATTATTTACTTGTAATCTATATTATTCTTCGTTTTTCTTTGATTTCAATGCAATCATTACTTTACGATGTGTTCTATCCAACTGAGCAATGTGCCAAATAACTCCTAAAACACTCATCTGAGTTCAAGGGGCTGCAGACACAGAAATGAGCCAGCTTTGTCTGTCCTTCATTGTTGCAGAAATAGCAGGAGCACTTCTGTTATGTGCTGGACATGATAGAGGTGTTGGCTCAGACCAAGTGCAGAAGGTCGGAAGAATTACTTCATCTCTTCTTAGTCTTGACCTTTTATTTCATTTCTATCCAAGTGGCTGTCTTGAAGAAGGTCTGGAGGCGTTGTTAAAGGCCACAGGAAGTAACTTGTTAATTCTGAAGATTTCCCACTGCCCAAACCTGCTGACGGATCGCTCCCTTTGGCTGGCAAGCTGCTATTGCCGAGCCCTGCAGGCTGTAACTTACAGGTAAAACGCCTCAACGCATCAAGTCTTTTGAAATTCAAAAACCATTCCAACAATCAGTGATATATTCAAGTTATAAACTCCGTCTGTTTTCCTCCAGGAGTGCCACAGATCCAGTTGGTCAGGAGGTGATTTGGGCCCTTGGGGCAGGTTGCAGAGACATTATTTCTCTTCAGGTGGCACCTCTACACCCTTGGTAATATATGGATAAATATGCAGTATCTTTTTTAAGTTACTTGGAACTTATCGTAACCTATACGTTTTGTGAGCTATTTGTTTAATACCAAAAGAAATAACCGACTGCAAACTCAGTGAGTTGCTTGTTGATGTTTTTTTTCCAGCCAACAACCCGCCCGCTTCAGCAACCGATGTCTGCAGACTATTGGAAGATGCTGGCCACACCTCCGGGCTCTCGGCGTGGGTGGAGCTGGATGTGGGATTCAGGGACTGGCCTCGCTGGGTAAATATGCAGCATAAGCCTACGGATTCACTTGTACTAGACTCTATTTTAAAGTCAGAGCAAAGCAGAAATACGTTACATAACAGAAACATGAGCAATGGGTCCAGCAGTTGATCCCAACTATTTCCAAATGAAAAATAAACCAATTTCCCCAATTTTAATGAAAGCAGCTGCTCACAGAAGATAAAACAATCTGCTGAATGTCACTGCTTTAAGTCCACATATAGACTAAATGCTGTGCAAGATTTTCTCATTGTTCCTTCAGTCCTCGGAAGAAAAATATCTTTTAGTTTACTTTAGTTCGAGCCTCTTTTTACTAAACTGATCAAATTCCTCTTTGTCTTAATATTCCTCTGTCCTTTAAATGAGCAGTCACAGAAAAATTTCCTTCAGACAGGACAACTGCCTGCAGCTGATATAAAGAGTTGGAGGCTGCAGGGGTAGTTCCATCACAGGATTTCATGCCAACCTTTAAAAAACCCTGAATAAATAAATCTGTTTGAGTCCAATTCAAATCCAGCTAAGCACAGTCTTCCTTCTTGTGTTTTTTAAGATTTAAAACGCATTTTAAATTAGTTTTATTCTAACTTTTAGCCACAGTCAGTCTTGAGTGGCCTTCATTTGCCTCGCTTTGCTTTAGCTGAAAAATGAATTCACATTTATCAATTGCTGCTTCTTTGAAACGAGCTGACTCAGCAGGTATCTGCTGTAGAACGTGCTACTCGGAGGAACCTTTCAACTTTGCTATCTGCTTGTCTCAGACTTCAAAACCTTGGTTACTGTTTCCTACCTTAAACTTTAAACTTTCTATGGTTTTCAATGCCCCTCATCTTCATCTTCCTCGTTTTTGCAGCAAGGAACTGCATGCGTCTGCAAGTGTTAGAGCTGGACCATGTGAGTGAAATCAACCAGGAGGTGGCAGCAGAGGTTTGCAGAGAGGGTCTAAAAGGCCTGGAGATGCTGGTCCTCACCTCCACGCCCGTCACCCCAAAAGCTTTGCTGCACTTTAACAGTGAGTATAAGACACTGGGCTTGGGAGATTGTCTCAAAAATAACACAAACACTGCTTCTTGCTTCACATATTTTTTGTTTTAGCGATGATTAGAAGTGCATGTTAAAATAAAAATTAATAAAAAAAGAGATCTTTCACACATTAATGTTGCTCGAATCCTCCCTCTAATCACGCAGGTGTTTGCCGCAACCTCAAGTCCATCGTGGTTCAGATTGGTATTGAGGACTACTTTGAGGACCCCAATAGCCCAGAGGCGAGAAAGCTGTTTGACGAGATGGTCAACAAGCTGCAGGTAACAGCTGCTCTGTGTCTGGGAGCACACCCGGCACATGGGCCATTATGCATGGGCGGACATTAAGTACCAACATAATACAAAATCGAGTTCTAGATTTTGTATTATTATTATTTTTTTTTAAGATTTCTTCTGAATGAATCGTTGTGGTTATCAGAGAAAAGTTCTTGCTTTATGCCACATGCAGGCCTCACTTTGGGTTACTACTTCCATGCTTTGCATTTACAGCTGTGTAAATGTAATGGCTAAGGTAGCAGTCAGACACCTTACTGTGGCTTTGTGAAGCAGTTTGTTGGGCATTTAGTTGCTGTTTTTAGAAAATTGCACGCTGTTGGGAGGTGGGTACGATGCATTTATTTTTATGGCAGTAAAATCATGAGTCAGTCCTTAGTCCCAGCAAGGACTGTTTGTAGATGTGCTGCTACAAACCCACTCGAGCAGAGGCTTTCTGCAGGGGTGTTTTTGTGGCTGACCACTCATGGTCAGAGATACGAAAAGGCTTTGAAGCACCAGTTTTTGGTTATGTTTGTTTTGATGAGTCATGTTGCAGTATCCTACAGTCAGGATAGAGAGGTGGCTCGTAGCTGCGACCTCTCAAAAAAGTGTGAATACCTGTGATCCATTTTTATTCCTCCCCCTACGAAACTTGGATACAGTAAAGTTTGCAGTTAAGTCACGTCCACTTATTAAATTAGGCTTTCTGGAGCTGAACGTTAGGGAGCCACATAGCCATCCTTAAGCTGCTGCATTAGGTGTTCAAAACATTTCATGCTGATGGAAGAGTAAAGAAGAAACCGAGATGAGACATACAGTAAGTCAGAGGGATATCTGGTCTTGGTGGTTATTCTCATATTTATCCCTTGTGTCTTTTCCAGGCTTTAAAGAAAAGACCGGGCTTCTCCAAAATCCTCCACGTGAAAGCCGACAGCCTCTGCTAACACCTTTTCTGCAGTCTTAGCTCCCTGAAAGGCCCAGTCGCGTCTTGAGTCAACCTAAAGGACCCTGCAGGTGTTAGCCCTCTCACTGGAGTTGAATGCATTTGCTGCACAAACGAGATGCGATCGACGCGTTGAAGAAGGACCAATGCTCAGTGGGCTATTTTTCAGTGGTACAAATCTAAAACAGAAAAAACTAGTATGCTAAATATGTTCTTAATGTCGGTGAGGCCGTTAGACTTAAAGTGGCATTTGGGATCCAGTGAAGTTTGAACTTTGCATTCTGGAGAAACAGATCTCTGATTCCTCCCTCTGCTGTCATTCGCTTTCACCATAAAAGTGACTGTGTCATGGCACAGTCAGATCCCTTCCTTCAGAACTTTAGAGGTTGTCGGCGGTGCTGCGTTTTTACCGCGTGCGTCACACAACGGCCGATTACAATACCACTCGCCGCCAACATCTAATGAGCAGGAACACATTATTAAGCCTATGTACTTTCCACAAGTGTTTCTCAACAGAGTCTCGTATGTGAGGGTTAACAGGAGCTTTATGTCTGAGGGAGTAAAGAGGAAGTGAAGAAATACCCAGCCTTTCCCGCACAACTGTACATTGAAACATCGTGAACACTCACCGCTTCCACCCTGAACCGAAATGTGCTGCGCTCCGGAGGGTGTAAAGACACATGGACCTGCTCCCAGTGCATGGCAACGCTGTTTTGCCTCATCCCTTTTCTCTGCTTCCCTCTGCGATCAGGATAATATCACTAATCTGGATGCTCTGCTCGCATCACTGGACCGGTTTGTGTCAGAGGGCCCATGGTAAGCGGTGCCACTTGTGACAGCATCTGTTCCCTACCCCTGCGAGCGTTTTCTCCAATGTGCCATTAATGAGGGGAGAGGGACCACACAATGCAGATGTTGAATCACCACAGCTTAAAGAAAAAAAAAAGTTCTGCAGTTTGATTTGAGTGGATGCAAATATAACATAAGGTGTTGTTGTGTTTCTTATAGAACAAAAGGTCCAGGTTTGTACTGGTGTTGTCGTGTTTGTATTTCACTTGTTTTCTCCAAAGTAAATGGTGCCATTCTAATCGGCGGGCCTCACAATGACTAGCCCTGAATCTCAACACCTGACATCCTGTGCCTCCCTCTGCTGGTGATCCCGTGCAAAAACACAGTTGGGGAGACGTCCCATTTTGCGGCATGGAGCAAGTATTATCATTTCTGTGCAGAACTTGGACTCAAGTGATCAGATTTTGGAATTGGGAAACTCATATTATTGCTGTCTAGAGTATCTTGCCGGAATTCTATCAGAGTATGATCAGCAAAACCTACTGAAAAATAGTGCTTGTGGTCTGGGGTTTGTGTCGGTTTAGATTTATCTTTCAACTGACAAACTGGGAGACAGATTGAGTGCTGAAGAGATATGTGTTTATTTGGTTTTAGTTTTCTAAGGGTTTTCAGGAACTTATGTGTCATCTTTGTCTTTGATACATTAGACAGCGGTCAGAATGCTCTCGAGCTATATTCACACTACCCGTGGCATTGTTTAGTGGTGATCCAGCTCCAATTCACTGATGGTCAGATTTGACAGTTCACAGGAGCCGTGCATCTGATTTCCCTCTGATCTTGACTGCCTATGCTGAGATTCCCTTTTGTGTGTCCCAGAAGGTCCAGAAAACATCATATTTGTTTGTGATATAACCACTGTGGAGTATATGTGAAAACATGCAAAAAAAGTAAAGGGAATGCATCCAAATATTTTAATGGCATTAAGCCCTTAAAGAAAAAAAAATGTGTTCAATTGTGAAGGAAAACATTAAGAATAGTGACAGCGAGAACCTTAACATTTGCAGTTTCAGTGGTTAGTGGTTAGTGGCGTTATTAGACTGCTGCAGCAACAACTTTCAGCTCATGCATGTAAGCAAAAAGCCACGTGAAATCTCATGGGTTTTTACGCCGCATCGCCTGTGCTTCAGACCACTCTTCATTTGAGAGAATTCAGTGGCAAAGTAGATTCAAACTGTTGAAGAAATGGTGTAAAAATGGTGGTATATAAAATCCCAGATTCTCTGTTTAAGCCTCTTCTTGTGTAACATTTGCCTTGGCTCACACATTAGAACTTGTTTCTGATTCTTGGAACTGACAAAGCTTGGGCCGCTGCCTACTGTAACCAAGACAGTACTTGCTCATAAGTAATTATCACAACTCCATGTAAAAGAAACTAAAATACTACTTAAAATGTGGGCCATAAGAAACCGATTATGGACAGGCCAGATCTCACATTTTCATTGAGCTTTTTTAAGTTGATACACAATATGGACCAAAAACCTGAATTTGTCTTCTTCAGGCCATCCAAGCTTATGACATACGAAAATAGCTTATGCTCATAAGAACCATTTTGAGTGGGGAAAAAAATCAACAGTTTGAAAACGGATTCGAAAATAAATCATTCTCAAGGCTCATTTACCACTAGCTCACCACCTGTTTCCTGACAGCAGTTCTCTTCTCTCAGTGGTTGAAAGTCTTAACAATGCTGTGGAGGCTTCCAGGTTGACACTGTCCTCTGGTAACAAAGGCCAACTTCTGTTTTTTCAGACTACTTATGAGAAGTGTAACTACTTATTGCTGATGAGATGGGAGAAGTGTCATGGGTAACCATTTCCACATGTTCCTCCACTTCTGCATATAATTGATCTACATTAGTTCTGACTTTCTGCTCAGTTTAACTAAAGGACATAGGTTGGGGGGGTGGGGGGTTGTTGGGGGGAGGGGGTGCCCATTTATGCCCACACTATGGAGAAAACACAAAGCACTTGTTGATTTTAAGTTTTAGACAATCCTGCCTTTGTTATCAGCTACTCTGTATATAATGTTTGTAAAAAAAAAAAAAAACGAAAAAAAAGAGTTGACGTGTGTTGTTAACATGAAATATTAAGGTCATGCGTCAGGATGGAACAGTGGAAGTTTACTGGCCTTCATCCTGTCAGAATTTTCTCTCCAAAGCTGAACGAAAGACAAACATAGAGAATTATATTATGTATAACAGTAGTGTTGAAATTGCAGTTGTGTATTAGATACTTTATATTAAATGTGCATCAGAGTCATATAGAGATGGAAATTATTTAAGAAGAGGACAAAAATGATAATTGAGCTATTTATTTCTATAAAAGCGGCGCTGTGTATACTGTTGGCATGTTTGTGTTCATGCATCAATCATTACGTTGCCTTCTTAAATGTTCTGCTACTGTGGCAAGGAAATTATTAGATGTTTAAAGAGCTTTGATTGCCTGCAGGTTAATTCTTTATTTTATCGCGTCTGTTGTTGCACTATAGAAAAAAAAGAAATGGATATTTCAGATGTTTATTATAAGAGTGTTGTTTTAAATGTTTCTCAGTATTTGACAAAAATATATATATAAAATGCACTTTTTTCTTGAACACTGTCCTCGGCCAGCTGGTCGTCCGCTTAATCAGAAGTTTCTGTTGGCAGAACATCTGTCGACGTCCACTCGTGTGGAACATGCATGTTGGATTCCATGAGAGGAAGACATGGGAAATGCATTGACAACTTGCAAACCTGTAATAGAAGAACAGTTTGTCTTATTTCTCTTAACACCATTAGTCATTTGATTGGGAGGTCGACTATCGAAACCGATTTAAATACATTCAAGTGCTTTTTAAGTTGCCATTATGACCTTACACTCAGCTCAGCTCTTTCTGTTTTACACTCTAAATGTAGCGTTCATAGCATCGGCCCATTTGTTTTGGCGGTGAAAGCGACCTGCTGCGGGTGCTGCGTGGTCTGTACGCTCTCGACATGCAGATTGGGAAGGCCAATTACACTGGAATAACTTTGGCCTCCGTTTCCAAATGTCTGCCTCGTGTGGTGAAAGTTTGAAACGTCACCTGAATCGAGATCGTTCTCCCATTCACATGTTTGTTATATCTTGTAATCGGGGATCCCCAGTGGCAGTTGCACCAGCTCATCTCCATGTGCAATCCAAAACTTTGTTTGAGTGCTCAAGTATGTACCCCCCTGTACATATTTTACACATGAATGATTGTACTGTCCATTAATCTGAACAGTGTTTTACGCATTACCTCAACACTTAACGGGGAAAAAACAAGTGTTCGTTTTTTTTTGTGTTTGTATTCATTCTGATTGCTGTTGACAGCTGATCCAGGAACTTCCTCCATTTTGCTCTGGAGATGACGTGAAATTTGTTGTTTAACAACACTTCCCGAAAAGAATGATAAGCCTTCTATGATGACTGTGTTAGATGGGAATGTTTCAGATCTCATTTTCACTCATTTGTTGTCATCAATAAAAACCGCTTTAAATTGTTCTTGTTCTTCATTCATTTTGAGGTTCCTCGTGTTTTTTATTATGTTTATTTAGTTTTCCATGTTTAGTTATCAGAAGAATCACAGAATTTGAAAATCAGATCAGTGGATCTTCCTGGATTAGGAATATTCAGGATGGAAATATTTTTTAGAATTCAATAGTTTTTATTGAATTCTCCAAGTTTTTTTGTTTCTTTTTAAACTTGCAGTAGCTGCATAATGGTATAATAAATATGGAGAATAAAGTCTTCTCTTGTGGCTATTCCTTTAGCCTCAGTACCTGTGTGTGTCTGTGTGTATGTGTGTGTGTGAGATCCTTGTGTGAAGCTGTGTGAGTGTGAGTGTGTGGGTGTGGCCCTCTGTTCTCTGGCAGGTTTCCAGTTCTCTCAGCTGTAGCTCATCAAGTCATCAGATGCCTGGGACACATCTGTTGGCCTTCGCCACATCTGCTTATCTGCCCCGGTGCGATCTCCATTCTTTGTCTGAATGTTTAGTTTCTCTCCGTGGTCAACATTAGCTGAGTTCCTCATGGCCGGTTTCTGTTGACCCTGTCTAACTGACCTTGTGCTATTTGCGAACCAACCAGAAAATATTCATACTTACCACAGCAAATCCTCAGATATCCTGATGGATTCACCTCACCTGGTGGCCTGAAGTAGTGTCTTCATTGTAAGTCTTAAGAGTCAGAGCTGCCAATGTTCACTGATGGTCTATTTTAAGTGACAGTCACCATGATAAACAATAATATGTCACTTTTACCATTTGTATATAAAAAGCTCAATCATATCCACATAGATTTTTATGAACAAAAAAAAACATTTTTTTATCTGTTTAGACTTTTGGCACTTTGTCTCTTTAAAACAGCTCATTAAAAGTGCCATCCTTTGAATACAGCTTGAAACAGAGCTGAAAACGCTACTACTGTTTGACGGGGAAATCTGGAGCTGAACAGTTAAGTCTTCAGCTGCCTCACGTGATCGTGCTGGAGCAGGACTCCTGCCAGGACTTTTTCTCAGTGTTTTCCTCTCGGCTGTCTCAGTGTCTGAATGAAGGTGCAGGGTGAGCGAGTACACTGCCAACAGAAAACAAGGTTTCGCCTTACAGACGCTCACAATGCATGACAATCCACTTCACCCCACCGATCTCAGAACTTTCTCCGTAAAATGGATTAATGTTTTCATAACTAACATCTGAAGTGATATTTTAATGTCTATTTATAAAAGTATGAATCCAAAGAATATGCATCTAATGAATCTAAAGAATATGCAGCCAGATTTCCTTTTGTTCGTGACCCAAATTTTTCTTTTTTCTTACTTGGCTTACGACATAAGATGTTATCAGATGTTCTTCGTTTTTTTTGCAAACCTGTGTTGCAATAAATCTTTGATGTCCTATGAGAGGAAGTAACTCTGGCATTAGAGAAGTCGGTTGGTGGTGGTGCCTTGTTTGTACTTAACCCAAACAGGATACAGAATTTTGTCTTGTGTCTTGTTGCAGCCGATAAATGTTTTTTGCCACAACACATCGCCTGGAAGACCAGCCATTGAAGTCACCCAAGTGATAACTCCACAGGTGATTTCATACCCTTAATTTAGAAGCATATTTGTTTCTGTAAAGTATTGCCTCCTCCAGTCTTTCACTTTACGTCAAACTCTGCTGTAGCCATTTATGCCAAATTCTAAAGAAAAAGCCCTTGTGGGCCCTTGTCTCAGACAACAGGCTCAGGTATCATCTAACACTGTAATTTTTGCACCACTTTGTACAGTGTAGCCGTAGAACCTCCTCTGTTTTTCCATGTGTGCGCATTTTCAGCTTCCTCTCCCGGAATCAAACAGATACGAAAATGACAAGAGAATGGAAAGTGCTCTCATCTGTGGTTGTCCTTTCCAAGAATATAACCTAAAGAGGAGCTACCTAGTTCTGTGTGTACCAAAAATGTTCCAAAATCATTAATTAAAATAAGAGGTACCGCTGGATCATAGAACTTTTTATTTTGTTTAAATTTTCTCAATTTTTGTTTAGTATTTCCATTATTCTTTATTACATAGTATTACAGAAGGCACTTACAAAAACAAAGTAAATCAAAGATTGTTATAAACATTACATTACTGATTTTCTTTTAAAAAAACAGAATGGCAAAGACAGGAAATGACAGCACCATTGGCAACTTCTGAACAGTACATCTCAAAGAAAAATTTAGCATGATTCAAACCTACAGTACAATAGAAATTATGCTCATTTGTTCTCGGTGTAATAATGCCCGAGCTATGCTTTTCAGTATAACTTAATCATGAGGATAAAAAAACTTGAACTCAACATTTATTCATTTATTTATTTCTCTTCACTAGTCAAAGGTTTGTCTTATGTTCAATGTTAGGCTATGTGGTTTCCGCTCCATGCAAGTCCTGGTACATCTCTATCAGACGAGTGGCCTCTCTCTGCCCTGACAGCAAAGCACCATGTGTAGTGGAATAGTATTTTCTGTGGGTGGCCTCTCCAGCGAACAGGACCTGCAGGGGCTAAATGGAGGGAGGGGGAGATGAGGGAAAAAGATGTAAGTGTAGAAAACCTGATTCAAAACCAGCTCGGTCAATAGCATCTTGTGTTTTTTTGGCCTCTCCTTGCAGCACTGTGGTCTATTTCTGCAATTCCCTGTTAACACTTGCCATGTAGGAGGCAGTGGTTGCTGTCCTGAGGGCTACAGTGTGATTTCAGCTTGACAGAGCTGAAGGACTCTCTGCAGAGGGGTCATACCGTTCCTTCAGCAGTGTCAAGTATGCATAAAACACCCTCCAGCCCCTCCTCCCACTCCCAATCAAATGCACCTCCGACCCCTTCTCCCGTTCGTCCAGAATGCTTCGGATTTCATGGTCTCGATTCCTGGCATGTAATGAGCATTCACAAGCCCTCTGACACATCCTGCCCTGCAGAGCCCGAACTGGCTCTCTGCACGGCCAGGAACGGTGAACACTAACGCACAGACCAAACAATACTTTGATTATTTTATGATGACGCGGTGTTGCTTACTGGAGCCTTGGTGCTGTTGTCGTAAGGCAGAGGCATGGCCAGCTTTTCACAGTCCGCCCCGCTGGATCCGACCCTGGTGAAGGAGTAGGAGCCTCGGATGTAAGGGTTACTGCCCCAAGACGAGCGCAGGACACGGCGGGGCTTTGGAATGTCAGGGTTCCCTGAGAGCGGGTGGCAGAGAAAGGTCAGCCCGGGTTTGTGCAAAACTGTTAAGTACTATGGGACCACGTTCAGTCTGATCGGGAGGACAGCACGGCTACGACAGATGCCCTGTTACAAACTCGCCATGTGAGCCTGCTCAGGCTGGAAAGGAAATGAAGATGATAATGTTTAGCAGAGGTCTGCTAATGTGTTCTAAATGTGTTAAATAAAAGCCCTGGATTCCAAGAAAACCTCATCTGGAGGATTTCCTTTTAAGCAAATGACAAAATGTCCACATACGAATGTTAGAGGGTTGTATAAACTTCGGACTTTGTCATGACACTTTTCAGATTTTCAATCATTTTGTCCCTTGCATTTTTTTTAGAAATGTTATTAAACTGCATACTACAGCGTTATAGCTCCAGCTCAAACTGTAATGACGTTGTTGATGCCCATTGTTGCTAAAAAAAATTTGAAAGCTCTTCTCGTGGTCTGCTGAGGGGCACTGAGTCTAGTTTGCCGATCAGAATATGTGACAAGCTATTGATATACTTTAGAATTATGGCGGACCAAAGCATTGTATAGTCTATAGAGTGCCACTCGATTTTACAGTCAAGCCAACTGGAAAATGAATGGGGAAACAGAGATGAGATGCTTTGCTTTTGGCCTTCTGATACCAGAGACACTGGTCACTGACCTAAATGAAGGCTGTATGTGTGCACGTGTAATTCACATCCTGCATACATAGGAAGTCCACTGACCTAATCATGAGGTGGCAGTCTGTATTCACATTGTGACCTACTTCTGAGGCAGCCGCTGGCGTTTTCTCTTTTCCCTTCCTTCCTGGACTTCTTGCCAAATGACTAACAATGCGTCAGTCCACGGAATGGTTAATGTATTAAACTGGAATTGACTTGATGCCGTTAAGTCCTTTTTTTTTTCTTTCTATCCCTGATTTTGTCCCCCTAGGACTGAAATGAAGTGCTTTATATAACAAGTGACAGCTAATACTAGACTAACCTCGGGGGAAAATACTGCATCCACTGTACTTGTGTGTCTGTGTGTGTGGGTCAAGAAAAAAGAGGACTGATCAAATGTCAGTTACTGTACAGAGCGCTTCGCCTTATCTAACACCCAATCAATCATTTTGATCTGTTTTATCTGTTTTGATTTTGCTGCTCTGAACACAGATTAGTTGGTTACTAATCATTCGAAACATGAGTATAACCCTCGTGACCATTTTTTTTTTCTTTTAGAAACAGCTACTTACAACACAACACAATGACCCAGACTTTCATTTTATGAGTCACTAAGCTAATATATCAGAAGGTTACTGTATTTGTTTTAGATTACTGACTTCCAAAAAGTGCTTGAAACGATTAGTTTTACTCTGGTAAAATCAACCCAAGCTGTGGTGGTGTTCATTAAGAATCAAAAATAAATTAATCTATATATATATTTTTTTTTTCTTAGAATTTTCATTAGTTTTAAAAGAAATTTGAAGTTGGATATTTTTTTAAAAGCCCCATAAAACTGCTGATGGAACCCGGTGTCCTCACCTGTAAAGCGCCTCAGCAGCTCAGTGCAGGTCTCAGCTACGGTTTCGTCATCACAGCGCTCCATGTACAGCGCCTCCTGCCCGCAGATCCAGCCGCTCAGCATGTGGCCGTAGCGCTCGGGTGGGTAGAGGACGTCGAAGCTACAGATCTTCTTATACCACAGCTCCTCGGGGTAGGCCAGCTGTTCAAGCTGGGCCTCGTCCTCCCACACAAACTGGATGCTGTTGCACTCTGGGCTCCAGAAGGGCTCCTCAAACTCTAAAAAAATCTTGTCAGTGGTGCTGATGCCCAGCTTCTCGACGGCGAGCACCTTGTCCTTAGGAAGAGATGGTAAGAACATGGCCTCATGATTCTGCTTCAGAACACCTAAAGAGGTCGTCACGATCACGTGATCCGCTGCAATCCACTCCTCATCCTCGCACTCCACGTAGATGGGGTGACCCAGGATGAGAGGGTCCTCGTGGGTCTGGCTTCCATGACTGTTGTCATTGTGGTTGTTCTGGTTGGGACCGCTGCTTTTGGCAATGACTTCCCGATGCTGGGCCGAGTAGTTCCAGTGGATGCAGCGGACTGGTTTGCCGAGGGAAATGGTGTGGGATGGGATGTCCTTGGCCAGGAGCTCCACAATCTTCATAAAACCTTCAGGAATGACATAATGTGCACCAGGGATCTCTGTCCACTCACCAAATTCGCTTAGAGACACCTCATCCATGCTGGGAGAGCTGCTCTCACAACTCTCCACCTGAGACGTAACACCATAGCAACAGTGGCTGTTCAGTCATATTTAAAGTCCACATCAGAAGTCACATCACATGTTAATAAACTGGATCACACAAGTCCAAACAACTATTAAACTGAAAGGAAATAGCTGGATGCCTTTTTAAACATTCCCCTGGCATTACACATCAGCTCGACCATGGCAATTAAAAACTATGCAAAAGGTCTGTGAGTCCCAGGACTACAGCCAAAATCGGAACAGCAAGCTTGAACTGGTTTAAACATGTCGGGAACATGTACATCGTTAGGTCAGTTTGAAAAATATGCAGCGGTTTGATTCCGCATATTTGCATTTTCACAATACACCTTGTTTCATGTGTGGGTGGGAGCACATGCAGGAGGGCCCGGACACGAATACATCACACTTCTACTCGTTTTAAACTTGACACGATTTTGCTTGCTGCTAGTGCTCACTTGAACAAAATACAGCTAACTGGATTATTGCCTAATTAAGCTCCATTATTAGAGCCAGCAAGAAAATAGACATGTGATACATAAATAGGTCTACCAATACATTTTCCACAAGGACATATAAGAAATGGATTCACTGAAGACACACCTTGAGGTACTGTTGAAGCATTGACAGTTTGAGCTTCTTGATGTTCTCGGAATCATACGGATCCAACATGATCTTCTTGCGCACCACATCTCGGGTAAAAACTCCAACACTGTTCTGGCTCTCAGCACAAACTGGCTTCCCACTCTGGAAGAATTCCTGAGTCAGCTCATACACCTAAAGGAGGGCAAAAAATAAAAGGGGAAATCAGAAGATTTGAGGGGGGGAGTAATCATTTGAGTTCAGTGCAGAATCCCCAGGGGTAAAACATTTTTTTTATTAAAACACTATGTACAGTATAAATAAGAATAACATTAACTAATTGATAACAAATTAATTGCAGTTCTGTGATAGAGAACTAAAAACAATTTATTAAAAAAGGTGGTAGAATGTAAATATACTTGTACATTTCTTCTGAGAAACAGATTCATCAGTTATTCATCAACATGTTTGTGTGACAACAGCTCATTATCCAAAGGTATCAACTTCCACTGAAAGCTGCACCTTAATTCCAAGAATGAATTGCATCACGTCCAAATTTTACAGGAAAAAACTTGAACGAGTTGAAGGTGTATTTTTTATAAGAGGCATTAGCCAGAGTCAAACACTATTTTATGTAGACATAAAATGATTCATTAATGAAACTCAGTATCTGCTGGACCACTATTACATCTTTTTTAGAAAGTATGTAGAAAAATGGCCAAATTGAACCTAAAAGACAAGAAAAAGAAAACACCCGATATTGGTGCAATAAGATAATTTTATTTTGTTTTTCTAAAGGTGGGAGAATAATGATGTGCTGAAGAAGATCAGGGACAGATTTCTCTCTCAGTAGCTGACAAACCATTTTTTCTTTGAAAAATGGTTAATTCCTTTAACAAAAACTGCGTGTATTCTGGCCTTTTGTCTTACTTAAAAAAATTGTTTCAGTAATTCTTGTTATCTCATAAACACGTTTTTAAAACGTCACAAAACTTTTTGGTTTTTATTTTTTTAAATAGACCCAACGATTAAACAAAAGCTTTGGACAAAACAAAAACATTTTCCGTTTTACTTTGGAAGGTATTGTGTGGGTTTTTACCCTCCACTCCCTTCACAAGAAATGACTGATGCCTTGTGGACATTTCCGTTTGTGCGTGACATTCAGTGTGTGTGAACATGTTCTCCAGTATGACGTAAACTCTCTGGATTGGGCCTTAAGAGCAACCCACACCAGCACATAATGACTCATTCTCTAATGGCATGCGAACAAAGCAGTTACCAGGATGCTCATTGGTCAAAAGCATGTCAGTCAGAGCTGAATGACATCATTTGGCACAGTGGGGGCAGAATAATCCCGAAACTTAGTGTCAAGTCTGAGAAAGCATTTTCTGAAGGTCCTGTTAAGGATAAATTCAGGGGGGAAAAACAAGCAGAACAGCAGAGCTTCTCAGTGACAGCAAACAAGTATTGGGACACCATTAGCCTTTATTCTGGTTTATGGTAAAGGAAAATATGTATTTTTCAATCAGTATGTCTAAAGATTAAAAATGTACAACCAGTAAAAAATCTGAACTAATTAAACTGAAATCATGCTTTAAGATATCACCGTTTTAAGAGGGACTTTTCCCTTAATTTTCTTGAATGATGCAGATGACTGTTATACGCCCCATGGAAATTCACTTTATCAGCTTTAGGCAGGAAAACTTAAAAAAATGTCTTTAAAAAGGTCTTTAACCAAAAAAAACACTATTAAACATAAATTAAGATCTCCTTGAGCTTTCCAATCCCCCACCAGAATTTCAAACATAGATTTAGGCTACAAATAATGTTTTGTTGTACAGTCACCTGATTTATGGCTGGCCAGTGAGTTTATACAATTAGTGTGAGCCTATGTGAGTGCTTTTGAACTCTATATGTGACACAATCATCCGTTCTAGTGTTATGCAAGCTGAGTACCAAGTGAACCTGTGGTTTCCATTTATGCATGTAAGGGTAAATTAAAATTTTTCCCCTTTTAGTGTATGAGCACATGCACGTCCTCACCTCATTGTACAGGTCACTGAACTCCTCCACCAGGTCCTTGGGGATCCTTTTGCCCACATTGGTCTGGTAGTGAGCCACACCGTTCTTGGTGTACAGACTGATGCGTCCCACACTCCTCTCGCCATCTGTGGTGTGCTCCAGGAGGCCATTTTCCTCAGCCAAGTGATACACGGGGTTCCCATTAGCACCATGGATCCACGTGGCTCCGAGCTCCAAAGTTGTTTTTCCTATAAATGAAGAAGAAATAAAGAGATATCAGAATTATATCATGAAACATTCAGCATCTCAGTATATCTCTTGTCTGATTAGCTTTCACAGACACTCCTCAGTGTTGGATAATGGAAAGTTGAAGAAGGAGGTTAACATAGTTAATATTCAGGAACTGTTCAGGCTCTTTGAATAACTTTGCATTTACTATTTATGTTTAGCACTACACATTATGTGTGCAGGCTGGCACAAAAAGAAATGGATGGATACCATTTTCACACATTAACATGCATTTCAATAACAGACATGTATAAAAGCACCTGCCATTTCATTTGATTGGATTTCTCAGTGACAGCGTTGTGATGCATGCCCTCCTTCACGTGCAAAAATGTATTTGAATGCTATTCTCTTTTAGCAGATTCATTAGCATATTCGCTAAAATTACATGGTTTAAAATTAAGGACGGGTTCATGTGAGTAGGTGTGACACTGAACTGAGAAATACAGGATGCAGACGTTCCACTCCACTTCTATGTAATGCCCATTAAAGTACAGTTACATCTTCTTACCGTGTTGAACACTCTGAACTCTCCCGCCGATGTGGTCGGACGCTTCTAGGATGGTGACATCCGTGAAGCCGTTTTTCAGCAGGTACTTAGTTGCAGCAAGGCCAGCCAAGCCGGCACCAATCACTACTATTCGAGGCTGCCGATGAATGCGTAGGCCACTACTAAGAGGATCATCAGTGCTGTCTGAGGAAATTTCACAACTTTGCATGCCGTCCAAGCTCCTCTTCGGTTAATTCTGAGAACAAATTAAAGACATGGGCCAAATTAACACGCAGTATAATTAAGTTGGGCTCATTTGGAGTTGACATCTCTTGTTAACGGCACGTAACATCCTGCCGTCTGTTTTCCACATCCGTTTTATCCAGTTTGATGAAGAATGTGTCTCTCAGCTTTGAGAAAGCTGGCTGTTCTTTTTGGCTGTCAGTCACATTGCTGATTAGGGCCAAAAACATGACCCGAAAACGAAAGATTAATCACCTTGGTGTTTGAACGACTTACACCACTCCTACTAAAAACACTAATCAGGATCAGTTATTATATATTATATAAGGCACCATCATGGGCATACAATACACCATGAAAAGATTATCTGTTCCCACATTTTAATATGTATCCACCATACACCAAAATAAATATTTTACAACAATATTTGTGTTATTGGGAATGTAAAAGAAAATATCATACATAGATTTCAATGGGATTAATACCAGGAAAACCTTTGACACAGAAAGATATGTCAAATTGAAATTGAAAAAAGAAAGGTGGAATTCCCCTTCATTTTTGTGACTGACAGCCAAAAAGAAGGTTGTAATTCCACTTTCTTTTTTCAGCTTCTTTGAGCACCTGAGACAAAATGACACTCCGTTGTATTGAACTTCGGTAGGTGTATGAAAAATGTATCAAACTTGATCTGAAAATTCCTGTTGTGGCCGTTTTCTTGTTAACATGGGCCGAACTAATCCTTTAAAACTCACAGTCTTTTGGTAAAGCACCTGTTAATTCGGTCCACATAATTTAGCCCCTTTAGAATTCTACTGTGCAGCCAATTATGTGCTGATTACAAAAACCTCTTTCATGGGTAATACACTCTACTTATAGGCATTCTGCTTACTATGACCCACATTTACAACCACGTTTATGACTGTGATTAACTTAATTTGAGTTTTTTTTCCATCACATGTTTACACTGTTCTGTCTATCTGCTGCTTACTTAGCATAAGACCAAATTAAAAGGTCCTAAGAGAACCCTGTTATTTCCATCAGAGAACAGACTGTACACAGAAAAAAAAAGGATCACTAATTACAGACCCCTCAATTGCTGTAAAATTGCTCAGACATTGGCATTAAAACTGAAGAAAGGCTAAACTGGCGAGCTCTGTTACACAAACACAAGCTTACTTGTGAATGTAAGGACAGCTGGGTGTCTGGGTGACACACTGGAGGTCTGTCCAAAGGACAATGCCGATAACCCGGTGAATAAAGCATCCGCTGGAATAGCACATATAAGCAAACTAGCACAACAGTCATCCTTTTTTACCTTCATTTTTTTAATGAGTCAGTGTCCTTCTGTCATAACCAAACTACAGCCATTCTTAACACAGCAGAAGCACATACAGAACTAGATCTAGAACTGTTTGATTTCTCCAGCCCAAAAAATCCTTGAATAAAATAGCTTAAACTGACTATTGTGTTAAACATGGGCCACACTATTAAAAGTGAACCTCCAACAGGTGACTCATCTTAACATTTTAACCTATATTCCCCATAGAGGCACAAGAAAGAAAATCTTTACTGATTTCAACTTTGATTCAGCCTAAACATCTGAGAAACAGAGATGTAAGCAAGTTCTTAATGCTGACAAGCCAGCGGGACGAGTCACCTGATGTGCATATAGCTGACGGTGTCAAAGAGGAAACCGCGAGGGAGCACTTCAAGAAAAACATGTGTGAGAAACACATGAGTCTGTGAGTTCAACACAAAGCATTTCCAGATAATCGGGTGCGAATTTCTGGTTGAAACCACCAGAGTCTTGGCTTGCCAGTGGCTTTCGCAACAGATGTGGGTTAAACCTGTTAATCCGTCACCACACCACCACGTTACATCTGACCCCACTTCCCGCCTCTCATCCCGAATCTGGGTCAGACATCTGAGATTTACAGGACAAGCAATTTATATTGGGAAACCATTAGAATTGGTGGATACAAAGTCATTTTATCTTATCTGAAAAGGCTTGAGCTGTTGTTGCAAATATGCCAAAGACAATTTGTCAGAGATTGTCAGGCATTTTTCATCAGTACTATATATTCCCTCCAGAACTGGCCTGACAGAAACACTGATTTGAATTTATATTTTATCCATAAACAGTTTACCAACTCTGGAGTGTAATTGAAAAATATTATTAATGCGTTCAGTATTAATTCTCCCCAAAAACCTTTTTTTTCACTTCATACTGAGAATATACTGATAACCAAATCCCCTGAAACGGTGGTAGCTGTAATATTCGGTGTACTGACTGGTTGGGACTTTTGATGTGTGGTCTTGGCTTGAGACAAATTATGGTCTGGTATGTACAGCACCGGTCAATGATTTTGTGTGGGTGTAACAAAACCTTTCGCTGACTCGTCACACCATATCTATATAATAGGTGTGGTTCCTGATGTTTCAGAAAGAATTTCTTCCCGTTCAAGTCCAGATCACGCCCCTAAAGAAGACTGAGTACACTTGTTTCATCACAGGATATTGTGCATTGTTGTCTACTATATCTGATAGCTTGCAAAAAAAAATTATCCCCAGGAGTTTCAGAGCACACAAAATACACAGTTGACTATATAATGTGTAACTCTTAAAAACTAAAACCTCTGACACTGTCATTTTTTATAATCATACACCAGGTTTGAAGCTATGGCTGTCATTCAAAGCTTTTTCAAGTTGCTGAGCTCCTTTGTTTGACCCAAAACCAAAACGTAGCCCACAACGTTGCTCCAGTGTTTGGCTTTGGAACTCATCTCATGACATTTATGTCAGCAAATGGCCACTGAAAGGTAGTGAAAGATATACAAACTAAAGGATAAAAATGTCTTGACTCACATGAAACTGACCTTCTACAGATCACAGGGCCCAATAAAGAGTTGCCACTGAAAGGCCAACTCAGATAAAGATCAGTGATTTCAGATGTAATGCAAAATAACTTCAGAGAAATAATTGTGAGTAAGCTATTAGGCCTGTAGGTGTCCCCTGGGCACAGTATTATAAAAGCTTTCAAAATCCAACTCCAAGTTCTACTTTAATATTTACTACATATTTTTCTACATAAAGCAATAAATTGGGTTACGCTCTGATAAATTACCTCTTAGTTTTATTAGAATTTTGTGTACTTTATATGCTCACAATCATGTGTTTGTAATTTCACATGTGATGATGATATCTGGACTCTCAGAAACAGAGTAGCTAAACAGTTTTGCTCATTACTCTTAATCAGATAAATAAAAGAAAGGCGAAACATTGCATCGCCACAATGGAATGCAGGAAACTAGCGATTTCACAGAGGAATTGATTAAGATTTCCTGATTTACAATCATTTGACCTAAAGCTTGTCTCTGATAAATCTGTGCATCACAGAGTCCATATTTACTCAGAGTAATATGCAGGCTCTTGCTTGACCTATATATGAAATCATATTTCATTTTGATATCGACCAAATTCAATAAATGCTATTAAATGAATTCTGCTCCTCCTTGACAAAGACCATTTGGATCTCTTAAACTGCCCTTAGTGACAGACCGTACATCCCTCCCTGCTTCCTTGTAATTCCATGGCTGCTTAATAGACTCGCCACATGTCACTGCTCCATGCCAGCAGGGCAGACTAATGTATGGGCTGGCCTTGGGTTAACAGCCGGCCAAGGGAGGGGAGAAGTGAGGAGAGGAGACGGAGGAAGAGAAGGGGCTACCGCTGACCTAGAAATGGCAAACCACAGAGCAGTGTGTCTGCTGGTAGATGAGAAGAACAGGGCCAGCCTCCAGCAGGAATGTCTTAAATGCTGGGTCTGAGCGCGCCTCTCTCTCATCTTAACCGTTCCTCCTCCGCTCCGACTGTGGACACGGCTCTTTCCAGCTGTGTACACACTCACATCTGCATTTCCTCCATCAGTCCCGTGTGACTGCGCTGGAAAAAGATATTTCATCATCTCGACATGAAAAAGTTGCCGTGTGGTCAAGGGGATTCGTGCCAAGGCCCAGACATTCCACACTCCTCTCCCAGCTTTGATTTTCCCAAAGCTGGGATGATGGAGTGGAGGCAGACACACACACACACACACACACACACACACACATCACAGCTGCACCAGAGTGCATCACCCTGCTTGATGAGGATGAGGAAAATGGTGCTTAGTAAGACTGTTGTAGACTATAGTAAAATAGCCACCAAGTTAAAGAGAAGAACTAAACAGTGACGATGGCCAAATAATATATACACTGGATATAAATATAAAAGATGCATGGATGAAACATTATAAGCGAATACTAAAATAATTAAATACGACAAGTCATTTCAAACATTGTTCAGAGGCAGATGAATACGAGTATTTCTACTCTAAGTTTCTATTCATTAAGGGTTCTGGGGCAACTTTTAAGGAGTGATGTTGCTCAGTAAGAGCAGAAAACCCACCGAAAATAACCATAAAAAAACATAAACTTTTAGCAGCAGATAAAAGAAGCCAGGGGGCTGGAAATCTGAGAACAAAGACGGTGACAATCAGCCGGTTGGATCCCTTCTTTATCCTGCTTGGAACAGCTGTGTGGCCACAGCCTGCCACGTCTGAGCCGCGATGCCAAAGTGGCGGCAGTTTGACACAAAGCAAAACCGCTCCACAGACGGACTCCGACCAAAAAAAAGTCTGGACGTCACAAAGCCCTGGAAGCATCATATGGCGGAGAAATAAAGCGGGATAATGTGTCATTTCTCCATCCGTGTGGGACTGGAGCTGGATTTGGATCTGGATCTGGATCTGGAGCCGCTGCGCGCTGCGCGCCGCCGTGACTCAGGTTGGCTCTGTGCGTTTCGCCTTCTATCGGCACAAACACCTGTGTGACAGCTGCCCTGCTCTGCTCACGGTCAACTGACAGCAAACAAGCCGCTCTGACAGTATTTCCTCCGCTATCTGACCCGCCACTGTACGTTGTTTTTTTTTTTTTAGTTCTCATTTCCCATCACCGCTTCCCGTCATCACCGTCCCGGCCCGGTCAAAAAAAAACAAAACAAACGCTAACTCTGGCCGAATGCCGTCTGAGTAAGAGCAGCTGGTTACCTGACTCTCGGTCTTCAGTTTTTTAAAAACCTCAGAATGCCCCGCTTTCCTTTGTGCCGCTGCTCTCAGACCCGGCTCCGCTTTGTATTTATGCCTGGAAACCAGAAGCAGCCAGTTTTTTCCGAGGCCGCTGCCTCCTCATTGATTATACATGAGCAGCGATGACGGCGGAGACCAGCCCTCCGGTGAGTAAGCCTGCTGTCGCAGGGCTGCAAGCAGCTGCCTGCACACACTCACACACACACACACACGCACACACTACAGCACGCACAGTCATATGCACAGTCAATGTCAATATTGCGCGTACTCATAACGCGAGTATTATCATTTATGTTGATCCGTACACGTCATCGCTTGTCACAGCTTACTTCTCTGTGTGATATGAACTGCAATCCGTTGCCTTCAGCCCCAATTTCTCTTTCACACAGGACAGCAGCTTGAGGTGCAGACAGGGAGACACCGAGGCCAGGTTCCAAAATACAACAGGACCGCTGTCAAAGGGGAACAGAGAAACTTAAATAAAGAAGATAAGGACGGTTAAAAAGGAAAACAGCTACACTTTTTTTCTAATTCATATCCTGACTCGGTTGCGTAAAAGATAGGTATTCAAACACACAATTCAGCACAACTGGTGACTGAACCTGCTCCAGGCCTGGATGTTCTGTCCTGCAGGTTTTAGAGGTTTCCCTGTTTATGCTCACCTGATTAACATCGACGCATAATCAGCTGTCCCGTGAGGAGCTGAACGACCTTTAGAGGAGATCCATTTTATTTGATTAATGTGTAGAAGCGGGCAGGCCTCTAGAACCTGCAGTACGGCGGCCCTCCAGGCCTGGAGGAGCCCACTCCTGCATCAGACAGTCATTCATTGTAGTAGAGGTTGTAGTGAAAGGTGAAATGTTTGTACAAACCTTGTTACAGAATAACCCTCTCTTTGCCTTCCTTGATCGGCTATTCAGACCATTTAATCCAACCACCTCTTTCTACCAGGAGCAAAGCCCCTCTGCACAGCATCCGCCACAGCTGCACGTTCCCAGGGGGAAACCTTGCAAAGCTCTGTGGGACAACTTACTGGTAAGTACCCTCCTTTCCTTTTGGAAAATGGTCCATTTTTGAAACTCTTACCAACACATTAACCACTGCCTCTTCATCAAAAGAGCTAGACTAATGAGTGAAACTGAGCCAAAGAGAGGCCTCCCCTTGGGTCTTCTCTTGCAGACAGCATTTAGATACACCATGTGGCAGATGAATACACTAAGACGATTATCCACTGCCGTTACACAGCACAGTTTACAAGTACGTGACAAGGCATAGGTAGTCTGTGCAATCAGAAAGAGCCCTGTCCTCCTATACAACACTGATACTACCAACTTGGCAATAAATAGATTTTATGGTGAACTGAACATGCAGAACGGTGCACACCAGAGACTTCAAACGAATTAGCAATGCAAGAGAGAGAGAGAGGGATATCGGCCAACAGCTGGCTGTCAGGCTAGTGTAAAGGAGGGCGAACGCACCATCGGTTCTCTGTGACCCTGTTGTCTTTTCAGCTGATTCGCCTCTCACAACGTCAAAGAGGACTCGGAGCGGAACCTTTCGCCCCACTGATTCTTCACATCGAAATGGTGAATAAAAGCACCCATGGATGTCGACTTTTTCAAGGTGGGAGGGAATTATTCATATTCACAAAAACACACAATGGGCTAAAACAAAACGAACAAATAAACATCTAACCCTATATTATTATATTAATAACTATTTTAAAAGTTGTAGAAATGGGCAAGTTTTTAAAAGTTTTTTTGAAAGGAGTGGGTAGGTTTCCTGGAAATTGCGACAGCAGAACTTTATAGATGGAGTTGCTACATCCCAGTAGGGCCGTCCGTCCAGTGCTGTTGTGACAACAGTGACATGAAATTTGTCATCAGTGATGAAACAAGTACGTGTTTGATCATTACAGCCTGAAGCTCAGGCATAATTGCTGTTTTACTTGGGTTCATAAATTCTGTGTATTTCACGTTTGTCTTTCATTTGAAACAAGTGCAGAGCAGCTAATGAGGAATTCTCCGGAGTCCTCCAAGGCCAACAGAAGACATTTAAAACTTTGTCTCCACTGGAACAGTGAGGTTTATGGGTATTATTTTCTTAAGATGACTTGTAGGCTTATGAAATGTTTTAAATGTGAAACCTTGACCTTGGTAGCAGTTCATTATTTACGGCAATCCAAGTGATATAAAGGAAATAAGCAGCCATACACAAGTATACGCAACTACCTAATTAACTGAAAATGCCCAGTATGTTATCCATCACTAATTAGAACAGCAATTAAATTGAAAGATAAAGTTAGAGTATAAAGTTAAAGTTGATGCTTATCTCTGTCTCTGACAGTTTCACAAAATGCTACATTTCCATCTTCCGCTTTATAGTTGATGATGTATCCACGTGGGATGGAAAAAGCCTCCTTGCTAAGCTAATAAAAATAACACATTTGGTTATATTTCATTGAATTTTGGTAGACTGGCAACAGATAGCCATCTCTGGTCTTTCCATCATTTGGTTCTAATGCTGTATATTTAAACCTCACCATCTCTATCTTTTCACTTCTGAAAACCACTTTGCTATTTACAATTTAGTAGTTTGTTAGATATTCAGCACCACTACTATGTGAAAAACTCATGTAATTCATGTAATAATATGAAAATAGTTAGTCCACTGAAATCTGCAAAATAAGCAATAAAAGAGGAAGTCCTGACTACATTAATAAGCCCTCTTTAATCTATATTTGCAGTTTTCATTTAAATCCGATGTATGCAAAGCGATAGATTGGTTTAAGCTGCTCCAGTATGCTCCTATACAGGAAAGCCCTGACTTTCTCAAAGATGCAGTGCTCTCCTTTACAACCGTGTCAAAATGTATGAGCTACCATTATGGGAAAATGGAGATAGAAAAGGAAGAGCAAGCACACCTAATATAAAGCAGGGTGTCAGAATGGAACTATGACTTGAACCCAAAAGCACAACACACTATCTTTAATGCAAAAGTGTAAATGAAAATCAATTTTCATGAGGAAGGCAACTATTGGAAACCAGCAAAATAAAAAAGAATGCAAAGACCGATAAATGGATTGATGTATGTTCTCTGACTACATAGACCAGACAAACAAGTACAGCTCAAAGGGAAACACAAACTGCATATACGGGCATAATAGAATGGGGGACAGGTGGAAATCATCAGTGTGGGACAGGCAATTAGACCATTCGGAAACACAAGAGGAAGGAACAAATTGCCTATAATAAAAGGAGGATTACATGTCAAAATAAACAAGAAGGCACAGGACAACATAGACACAAGACAAAATGAAATCTTAATTGTTTTTTTTTAATGCGACATATGAGTCTTTGAACACATAGCAGGTTTGTTTCACAAGATCTATATTAAACAAAAGATTATCAGTGGAATTTGTCAGTGCCTCATTGGAACAAACTCTGTTGCATGTGAGGGAACGAGAGAAACTGCCTTCCCTCAGGAGGGCCTTCAATCACTCGCTCAGCTTGATAGGATGGTGATTGCTGGAGAGACTTATGACAGAAATAATAAACAACAGTTTCTATCTATTATAGAGCCGGGATGATTCCCAGATGTAATGAACTTCAACTGTAGTGTGATGAAAAGGTGTGAACAAGCTGCTGGTAAAATGATTTCAAAGGTCTTTTGGTAATTAAGACAGAGACCCAGGAATGTGCTGTTCTGTGTCCTGCAGGTCAACCTATCTTATTTTTTAATAAAGACTCAAATATTCTCCGGTAGCTGTGCTGGTAGCTTTTCTGAACAGTATCACCCCTTTTATGTTTTTGCTCTTGAAGCATAGAGAGGTCACTATCCAAAAGTGTGACAATGAAATTATGAATTACTGAATGAGACCAAAAATCAATAACTTAAAAGTTTAGTCATTAATAGCTTTAACCCACGATTAATCACCGACTCCATTAAAGTGAATAAGAAGTGAAAAAGAAAATGGTGAACAAATCAGTGGGGGGTTGGGACCATTGACACAAACTGATCTCATAATAAGATGTTGTGATTCACACTGCTCCTCCACTCCCATCCCTCTTCTTTATCAGCTATTATTATTTTTCTTCACTACCGGCTACTACAACATCATGCTACAATAAGACCAAAGGCCGAGATTTGCATATGCCAGCCACTTCTTGAGTATTAATAAAACGACAGTGTCCGCTGCCCTTGGAATGACAACGGTTTGCTGCTACACAACGCCGCAGGTCTTAGTGAGAGGTCAGCGTGGCAGAACAAAATGGATGTGGTCATCTGTTGTAAAAGAAGTGCCAAAAACAGCAGCTGAATCAGCTTAAAAACATCTTTGAGTCAAATGGACTCCCAAAGTCATCATTTTCTCTTATTAAACATGAAGTTGGAATTTTATTTCAGGAACCTCACTGATTTCTTTCTCAGTCTAAAAAAACTTTAATTTATGAGCCTCACATGGTTGTAGCCTAACGTAGACACGCATCAACAATGTTGAACATATTTACAGCAATGATATCACCATCAAAGTTTAATAGAAGTAGAAGGTTTGTTTAATAATCAATTGACTTTACATAACTGAGAAATGATCATGTGAGTAATAACAGTTAAGCTCTGTGTGACAAAGTATCAAATGACCCTATTTAACTTCATGTAGCCTGTTTAGTAGATTTGACCTTTAGCAAAATGAGCTCTTTTTCATCAAGTGGACAACAAGCTTCTGCATGACAGAATGGTAATTCTCTTTGATCAGAGTTGTAAGTCACAAGCTCCTAAATGGATTAAACATGCTCACATATGTTTTCCTCCTCTGTGGTTAGAAGAGAATGGTTTAATGTTAGCAGTCAGATTTGGACTCAGTTTAACTCATCCACCTATCTTTATTGAAATTCAACTCTCAGTTGATTCAGTAATAAATTTCAGATTTGATTTGCCAATGTTTTTGTGTTAACCTTAATTCCTCTCGCAGGTTCCATCTGCTCCTCATAGTTTATGCTGGTGTACATTCTCAATCATCAACATCATGCTAATCCCTAGAGATTGAATTACGGTCACTGAACACATAAGAAAAAGTCT